GGAATTTGATGGAAAGCTCTAAAAAGATCGACTTTGGTAAAGATTGACTTTCCTGCTAGTCCAAGGGAGAAATCGTGGATATGTGGGATAGGATACCTATCCGGAACAGTGACGTTGTTAAGAGCACGGTAGTCACCGCATGGTCGCCAATCGCCTGACTTTTTAGACACCAGATGGAGAGGTGATGCCCAGCAGCTGTTTAAAGGACGAATAGTGCCGAGATCAAGCATGTGTTGGAATTCCTTTTTAGCTGCCTGGAGTTTGTCAGGACGCAAGCGTCGAGCTTTATCAGTTACAGGCGGATCGGTTGTAACGATGTGATGGCGTACATCTTGTTTGGGATCGAAAGTGTCGTTATGTGTTCGAATGAGTGACGGAAATTGTCGGAGCAATGAAGAATACTGTGAGTCGTCAGGGATGAGGATGCGAAGCCCGAGAGAATTGACTGAGGCAAGTTTGCAGGGGATGCTTAAAGACGTAGTATCGTCTCGCAATTTCCCACAACGTAGGTCGACCACAAGACCGAACTTGCTGAGGAAGTCGATTCCGATAATGGGCTATTGCACATCGGCGATGGTAAAAAGGAAAAGGAAGGTGCGCCGTAATCCGAGACTCAAAGTAAGTAATTTCTGGCCGTAGGTCGCGATTTTAGTCTGATTAGCTGCCGTAAGCATTGGACCCGCTGGTTGCAGGGGGCATTTTTCCAGAGAACGGGGAAGAACGCTGACTTCTGCACCAGTATCAACCAAGAAGTGAAATTTGGTTGTGGAGCCAAATACATACAACAGGCGACTAATAACCTGGCCAGCGACAGCCGTCGCCATTACTGGCTGGCTTTGGCGTTTCCCGGTTGCGAAATCGAAGTTCCTTTCGGATATTTGCATCCTGGGCGACAGTTACGTGCTGAGTTACCGAGGCGACGGTGGAACTAACAGTATGAGCGCTGACGTGATCGTGATGTGCTGCGGCGCGGAGCACGAGGACTTCTTCGGCTAGGAGTGCGTTCACGTCGAATAGCAGACATGCTAAGTTCTAAACGGGATATTCTATCGTTTATCGAATCAAGCGTAGTGCTCGGGGGTGAGCTGGCTGTGGTGGACTCAGTTAGATGATCAAGAGTATACTTAAAGATACATTCGTGCGTTTTGTCCGCAGCTTCTGCGAGCTTCTCCAGCGTGATATCGTCGCTAAGAACTGATAATATCGCTGTGATGTTTGCCTGAAGACATTTGGTCCAAAGTTGGCGGAGTATGGAATCGTCGAGTTTCGACGAACCAACAAGGGAACGCATGTGCCTTAGAAGCTGGGATGGAGTGCGATCGCCAAGCTCGACGCCGGAAAGTAACTGTTGCAGACGAGCTTCATCAGACGCAGTTGTGCGATTAAGGATAGCTGCTTTAAGTTTATCATACGGCGATTCAACAGGCATAGGGTCAAGAATATCAATGACTTCAGATGCAATGGAGACAGGTAAGCGCGAGACGACGTAAGAGAACATGGAAGACTGTGAAGTGATCTTACGACATCGAAAAGTGGCTTCCACCTGAATAAACCATACGCGTGGATTGGAAATGTCAAAGTTAGGAAGCGAGATTTCGATGGAATTGTCCGTAAAAACACATGGGGTATGGTCAGACATGACTAAGAAAAATACGTGTTCAAAAAAATAAGGCAGGGTCACCAATTTATGTAGTGGTCGAAAAATACTAGGAAGGTTTCAACCCCTTAATAAAAGGCAAAAAGATGGAGAGGATCAACTCACAGTTTAATCACAGTCGAGTTCGAGTCGTAGGTTGCGCTATACCTGTGACACACGTCGAGCACAATGGAAGTAGACGTTCGATAATAATTCCGAATATACTATCCGATTTTCAAGCAGACTGGACGGCACCGTACACACGCAGAAGCAGCACAGCCAGAAATCAGCACGACGGAACGCCACTACTGCGTCGAGACCCACAACATCTGTTACCTACCGACGAGATCAGGACCTTGCCGTAAGATCCCGAGGCAGAACCACCGAAAAGCTACGCTTACTCGTTCTGCGCAAACCCGTGAAACCCGTGAAAAGATGTCACGATAATATTGATGACAAGAGAGACAAAATGTAAAAGATGAATAACCACTACAGTGTCTTCTATGGAATAATTGTCTGGAAACCAAGCTACATGTAATGTGAAAGCAGTGGTATAAGTGTACTGAAAACGAATTATAAAGTGAGTGTGACAACGCATGGATATAAGCTGTGAGAAATGGACTTACTTTTCGTCCTAACCTAGAACAAGGTGTAAGAATGATTTTGGAATGCGGAGGGGCCTTCCTGTGGAGATACAAGCGTCAAACAAAATTAAGGTTTAAGTGTTGTATGAATGTAGTATGTTATCATTGCGCAGGAACTATCGCAATCTTCTCTTTGTCGCGACAAATCTAGTCTATGATTCCAACCTAGCTAGTACAAAAGGCGGTGCACAAAACATTGGAACACAGGACGTCCGGTTGGAAATCCGGCACGCTAACGCCACGCTATGCTAATCCTTACCAAGCCTCTTATAAATGTACGGCGGCTATAGCATCGTCCTTTACTGCATGACTGCTGTACCATAGCAACACTGTCAGAATCCCGTTGATCGCTGGTGACGTATTCCACGGTCTCAATCCCAGCGGACTGGTCTGTGTCTTACGTTCTCAGGAAATCATTTTTCGTCTAACCTGGCTTGTTCCATTTGATAATGGCAGGTGGGTGCCTTTGATTTTCTGTATCGTTGCTCTTTTTTATTGCACGACCTCTTCCTCCGCGCACTAGTTCCAGTTCAGTTGGGACCGAAACGGTAGGATAATCCCGTGAATGTCCCTTCTTTTGCGTATCGTCGGATCGGGAATTGATAGATCCGCTTTAGGTGTTGAAAATCCTAAAACAAAGATCGCATGACACCCTGTCCAACCAATTACTGCCTACATTTTTCTGCCCAGCAGTACCTGCCAGGCCGGTTTTGGTGAAGTAAAAGAGTGCAGGGTAAGCTAAGAAAACAAGAGGAGGAATGTCAGCTAAATAATGATAATACCAATGTGCGAAGAAAATTAAAAAAGAACGAAGGGTAAGTTGAAGATACAAGTCGGTTGGTAGAAAGGGAAGGTTTGGTACTGCCACCCAAGCGCATCTTACTGACGCTCGAAACCCTACCGTAGTCTCCCTAACCACGTGCTCCGGAATCGAGTTCCAACGTTCAATAACTCGACGCGACAAGCGAGTTTCCGTCCTTACCCGGTCAGAATGCTGTTTGTGCAGCTTCAACAGGTGACCTCGGAGACTAGGCAGCTTGGCGGGACTAAATAGCCAGAACAAGTCTGGACCGATCTTACCCGTTAAGATACGGTAAGTGAGGATCAAGTCTCCTCTAATTCTGCGGTAGTGCATTGAGTACATACTCAAGCTAAGCAAACGTTCGGGATACGTTTGCCCCCGTAATCCTTGCACTAACCTTGTATCCACTCGCAAAACCCTCTCCAGTTCCATTTTGTCCCTTACAAGATAAGGTGGACAAGCCTGGATACAGTACTCTAAGTGAGGTCGCACAAAAGCTGTGAACAGCTTCACAGAAATATTGGTCGTTAGGACACCGAAGGAGCGGCGAATAAACCACATCATACGGAACCCTCTACAAGCAGCCTTCCTCCAATTTTCCCCAGAGTGAAGCAATGAGATATGGGTGATACCTAGATCAACCTGCTGAATGACAACGGAGTTCACTTCCACCAACTACGTAGCGCGTGGGAGGACTAGCACCTCCAATGCGGAGGACAGAACATTTCGCCTGATTTATGGGCATCAACCATAAGGTTGACCAATCCCAGAGCATATCCAAGGCACTCTAAAGTGCCTCAGAGCCACCAGGGATATTCACAATATTCCAGAGCTTGAGGTCATCAGCAAACAATAGCGATGGTACTCCAAGCTCCTGGAGTAGGTCATTGAAATAAATTGCGAAAAGCAACGGCCCCAGAACCGAGCCCTGCGGAACGCCACTAAGAACAGATTGTCTAAGCGAAAGGCTATGTCCCACGCGTACACACTGTTCTCTGCCCTCTAGGAAAGCAGAAACCCATGTAAGGGCGGCTCCAGATATCCCATACGATCTCAACTTCAGTGAGAGTCGTTGATGTGGGACAGTATCAAAGGCTTCCGAGAAGTCAACGAAAAGCACGTCGATGGCGTGACCTTTGTCTACTGCCTCAGCCCAGCTTTCACGAGCTACAAGTAAATTTGTCAGACATGAAAATCCCTTACGGAATCCGTGCTGGGCCGCACTGAGAAGGTTAAAATTAATCAGGTAATTCTCCACCGAATCCCTGGCCAATTTTTCAAACAACTTAACTACTAGTTAAGCTGACAGGCCGGTAGTTGACGGGCAGAACTCTGTCCCCGCCCTTAAAAATCGGACAGATGATTGCCTTCCTCCATTCCGAAGGTAAGGCACAGCTGTCGAGTGATATTGTAAACATGCATGTCAGAGGGCCACTAAGCTCAGCGGCCAATTCATGCATCAGCTTCGGATGAATTTAATCAGGGCCAGAAGCTTTGGAAGGATTTAGCCCTTGCAATAGCCCGAAGACTTGTGTCTCCGTTATGCTGATTTCAGTTAGGCAAGAATCCTCCGGAACTTTTGTGACCAGCTCAGCCTGAGGTAGAGAGTCCTCGTGAGAAAGGACACCAGTATACTGTTCGCTAAGTATACAGGCATTATCATAGTCGGTATGTCCATGGGTCTCATCCGCTCGTAGTAAAGCGGCGTCATCGGAACGCTTGTGTCACGGAAGTGGAAGAGGTTACGCAGCTGTTGCGAAGAAATGGGCAGGTTAAAATTATGCATGAGGGAAATGAGATTCGGTGCCAGTTTTACGTGCCCACACGTATGCTGGAGTTGGTGGGCCAATAAGGTGAGGTCATTTTGGCGGACTCCACATATAAGATCAATTAAGGGGGTTACATCCTATGGCAGCGCATGTTTGTGGACGTTAGCGGCCTTGGTAGGAGATTTTATGCGCCTCTGCCAAATGAGACGGAGGCTACTTACGAAGAGACGGTGAGAGGTATGTTGGAGTTGGCCCCCGGCGTTGCCGGTGCTGGAACGTTGGTGATGGACAAGTGCGCGGTGCAAGTGAATGCGTTTCGCAATGCATATCCCACTGCCAACATCGTATTCTGCCGGGTACACATCATGCGGGACATGCAGCGACGTTGTTCACACCTTCCGTTCTGTGGTTCTTGGAGTATGCGTTGGTCGTTCAACAACCAGGGGCTCCTAGCCTGAGTACCGAAGTGCAATTGGGGTCGAAGAGAAGCGTTGAGGAGGAGGCGGAAATTACTAGGGTCAGCTTGACCGAAGGTTCATTGCAGCAGTGCCACCATGCGGCTAGCAGCAGCTGCTGCTTTCTGGCAACAAGCGGATACGGAATAACAGGTCCGGGTAATGATACCCAAGTCTCTTTCGGCTAAAGAGATCTGGTGGATAGACGCTTCCAGGTAATATATAGGAGAAGAAGCAGAAGGGCGGGTGGACCGGACGGGACGTGTGGAAGCGTTAAATGGAAGGTGGTACTGCTTTACACCGTCCAGGTCTGTCTGAGGTGTATGGGCTTCGTCGGGCTGGTTAATTGCGCGCCACAGTTTCCCATCTACCGCATATAGCAGCTAGGAAGCCTGCACTTCGGTGTGACGTCGTCCATGATGGCTAGGAAGAGGTTGGTTCCGAGAACAGACCCCTGTGGAACATTGTTTGCGGCCAAAGAAACGAGGAGACAGCGCTCCGTGGACACGTACCTCGATGGTACGGTTTTCAAGGCAGTTCCGGGTGCACTGCATCGAGGCCCCTGACGCGCCGTAACACAGCTGACGATGGTGTTTCAGAAGTCACTTGACAGCTGTACATTACCTTCTGAATTGAAGGAGGCTGTCATCTGTCCTATCTTCAAACATGCCGACAGGAGTGTGTGAGCCAATCATAGGCCATTCAATCTTACTGGCGGCGCCCTTCGCTGGGTATCTGCGCAGTTGCAGGGAAGAGACCAGTGTTTACCTGTGGGTCGCAGCTTATTCTTTAGGCAAGCTGTGTCCCACAGGGCTTCGACCGATGCTGTTCTCCATCTACGTAAACGGTCTCCCTGGAGAGCTTGGGGTATCATCCCTATTGTTTGCTGATGACCTTAAGCTATGGAGTCGTAAATGTTCCTGGGGATTTTGAGGCCATACAGCATATCCTGGACAGACTGGGACTGGTCTACTTTGCGGTTACTGCCCATTCATTAGGCTGTGTTCCGTCCTTGGTATAGGAGCAACTTTCGCGCCTTCGAGCTACGTACTCGGTGTGGTCGAACTCCCGTTGCCTCCAACCAGGTAGACCTAGGCGTCCTCCATTCCTCGCCTTTGCATTCTGTTGACAACTGGAAGATGGCCACTAGTAGGGGTTTCGCGGTATTTCGCGGGCGAATTACCGTCTCCGTTCTTAAAAATCAAACAGGTGATCGCCTTTCCGATGGTAGGACGCAGTTGTCAAGTAATGTTTAAGTAACGCGTCGGAGACCACTCAGTTCAGCTGCCAATTCATACAGCAGCTTCGGTTGAATTGAACTAGGACCGGAAGCCTAAGAAGGAATAATGCTTTGCAATAGCTGAACCAGCATCCTCTGGAGCTCTTGGAACCAACACAATCTGTGGTAAAGAATTCTCACGAATAAAGGCTCTAGTGTACTTTTCTTCAGCTCTACAGGCATCATCATAATAGGTGTGCGTACGGACCCTGCCTGTTCGCAGTAACGCTGATATAGACTGATCTGCTCCGCTGCGCCTCTTTACATAAACAAAGAACTTGGGATTAGCTAGACCCCTCCTCCTCTTGGAGAGGCACAGTCTTGAGATGTTGCTTATATATATTTTTAACTTCTTAATAACTGTCATAGATATTGGCTGACGTAGCTGCTTTGTAGCATTCGACCATCACCCTTCGAAGTATAGCTTATGTCTGGTGGGAACACCGCGTGATCAACGAGCGTGTTCAGCTTCATGTATTTAGTGCAGGAAGAGGTATTGACCCGCTCAACACAATCATATCACGCACCAGACTCCGATGGCTGGACACAACAACAGCAGCAGTACATCAGTCGTTTGAACTGGTGCTTCGCTGCCATACAACCATGATGACCTATAAAACAAATAATAATAAGAGGGAGAGAAGAGGGACTTACTTGAAAACATTAATGCCCTAAGCTAACATTCAGCGTCAAGGCGCTTAAACCTTGAGTAGACAACATACCGTCACAACCAGCTGGCTATAGTGCAAAGATAAGGCGGCATAGGCGAGACAGCTTCCTTGCGGCTTTCACTGCCCCACGTCATAATCAGCCATTATCCCGCAGATAACTGAGCACCAAACACACTTTAAACAGGCAATACAACTAGGAGAGGGCAGCAGACGCGCCACTGGTATCGATCGCGAGCCTTGTCCTGTAAAGTCTTGAGCCAAGCACAAGGCGAGTCACCTGGACTCCAGCCCGGATGCGAAACGAACCAACGGCACCCCGCTTGATCGTCAGTGACTTCATTTCCCGTTGCCAAGTCAAATTCTGTCCACCTCGAGCTTTTCGCCACCCTACACCTCGCAGACTAAACTAAGTCCTCCTAGATAAGCGGTGATCAGGCATACGTAGCAGTGCCTGGGCCAACGCAACTTATTCAGTGCTATCTGTTGTTCTAAAGAGCTAGCATGATTATCACCACCTAGTACTCGCCTACGCTCATCATCGTTGCGGACACGCTGATGTCATCCGACACCAGCAATGCTTCGCAGACAACGATGATCCAAGATTTGAAGGTGCCTCAGATCTTCCGACCGAAGGGGCCAAGTCTCACTACCGTAAAGCAGAACGGCCCTCACTGTGACCTTGTATACGCGGCCTTTCGGACGGAGGGAAACTCCCTTCTGTCGCCAAAGATGCCGCAGGTTCAAGAAGGCAGTTCTGGCCTTTGCAGTGCGTGAGCTGACGTCAGTTTCTATACACCTATTGTTGCTGATGCAGCTACCAAGATAAGTGAATTGATCAACCATCTCGACCTCGTTAGCGAGGGTCAAGGGGTCATAAAGTGGCTGGTGGTCCTGCAGCAACACTTTGCGCTTTGAAGGTGCGAAATGCATACTAAATAATGGGACCACTCTAGACACGCTATCCATAGTTGATTGTGCCGCCGCAACATCGCCAAAAAGTAAGACGATATCGTCCGCATCATCAAGATCAACTAGTCTTTCACCAGGCAACACTACAACGCCTGAATCGTGAGATTCCGCAAGGGAACACTCCATCATAGATACCATGACGAAATTGAACAAAAATTGGGAAATCGGCCAACCCAGACGAACGCCACTTATGGTTGGAAAGCTCTTCGATAGGCCATCGTAGAGCCTGACGTCTGTAGTGTGGTGACGCCTGTAGTGTTCTAGTATGGAGCACGTATGATGTTCACATATTTCGTGGGAACACCTTTCCGCGCAAGTATTTCGAACAGAATCGATAGATGGACTGAATCAAACGCACACTTGAAATCGAGGAACACAGCTGTTGTCGGTCTGCGGTGTGCGTGGCGCTGCTTTAGCACCTGCCGTAGAGTGAATATATGGTCTATACAGCCACGTCCTAGGCGGAAACCTGCCTGCTCTTCCCTAATCCGAGATTCTCGTTCCACAGTGAGGCGACGAATGAGAATCGAGCCCAGTAATTTTGTCACTACTGGCGTTAGGCTAATACCCTTGTAGTTAGAACAGTCTGTGCGACTACCCTTCTTGTATATTGCTACCATAATCAATTCGCTCCAATTAACCGGGATACTTCCTTCCAGATATGTTCGATTAGGGAGGTCAGTGCTTTGCCGAGGACCTCACCATCCATAAATAGCGCAGGTAGGAGGGAATCTGGGCCAGCGGCACGAAAACGAGTGAGGGCTGTGATCGCGTTTCGGACCTCGGCCTCCGACGGAGGTTCTAAACTTAGCGTCCATGACTTATCCTGCATCAATTGAGTAGGAAGAGGTCCGGTAGCAGGGGGCCAGCTGAACTGATTTTGTAAGTGTTCTGCCCAACGAGTCATAAGGCGCTCCTTGTTGTGTATCAGTACACCCGTTCTGTCTCTGTCTCACTGACGTCTGGTTTCCTGGGACCAGCGGTGTGGATCATCATTATCATCAGCTGGCTGAAAACCTTGGAAGCCATGGCTCAAGATCGATGTCAATGACGGACGTGTGCATCGATGTTGCAGTATCCCTTCTTCCTCCCCTTAAAAAACAAACTGAAAAAATTTCAAAAACTAGACAAAAACCTTTTGTTGTTGCTCTTTCCCATTATTCATACTGTCTTCCTATTCAGCCATGATTCCGATGGCACAATATCTGTACCACAGATCGTGTATTTTATACACACACATATATATATATATATATCATCAGCAGTATACACGTTAGCTTCAGGTGGAAAACACCTCCACTACTGTGCCACAATACAAAAGACACGAAAAGGAAAACAAACAGTGGCACGCCGGTTGAGTCCCCAGTAACGAATGGACCTCGTTCCGGAGATTTAACAGCTGACAATCGTGCCGTAAAGTTATATTATGCCTAACGAGTGAGATCGTCATTGGAGGGGGTGCTAAGCAGGAGGGGGTGGGCAAAGGAACTCACAACACAAACGCCATTGGGGCCGGCTCCAAGCCATATCAGCAAGTGTGTCCAACCAAACGTGTTCACCGTCCTTAGGACCTCAGCCAGGCAGTCGGGTGGTACGGATCAAGTGGAAGAGCTTGCGGTAATTGCCTTCTGCTTCTGCCTCCACTTCTTGAGCCCTATTGGTTCACCAGGCTTCCTTATCAGCACGTAGGCTCCGCTTTAGTTCGCGTCTAATAGCCCGTCTAGTCACATCGTGCTCAAAGCCAGTCGGGAGGTTTCTTCCAGTTTTTAACAGGTTCACCGATCTCTCGGATATCCAGTGACTGGTGCGGTGACCATTGGTAGTGCCACAAGCAGATGATCCTGTGCCGTGCATGGCGGTCGAGATCCTATTCCACTGAAGCTCCGTGTCATTAGAACAAGATAGCGAAAGTTCGGTACGCAGTTCGTCTTGATAGGCTTATCTGACCGAGGACTGAGACAATTTCTCAGTTTCCAATCGTGGGAGACGCTTGGTGCGCCTCCCGGTAAAGTTCATGGAGAAACGACAGCGTACCAAGGCATTATCACAGTCGACGTAGGTACTCCAGTACGAGCGGC